GTAAATTAAGAGTTATGAACATGTGCTTGCTACAAAACAGAAGGCAGCATTAGAGATTAAAACAGTGAAATACAGAATATTGCCAATCTTTCTTATTATCTTCAATTAAAAAAAATGAACAATAGCTTTCCCTAATTCTTCTTTTGTAATATTACATCCAGTCTTTTCCATGTATAGAGTCTTATTCAGCTTGTGAACAATTTTGTGTCCACCTGTTCAGTTAAATCTTTGGGCTGAAGAAACATGTATCTACCTAGCTGAGCAGCTGGGGGAAAAAGTCAAATGGGCCCGCAATTATGGAAGCATAGATGGGCACGCTTGGCTCGAATATGGCAGCTTTCTTTCTCATTTTCTGTCTTATGAGAAGAAGCCAAATTTTGTGTGTCCGCTGCACTGTGGGTGTTTAGGATTGGCTTACAGAAAGAATGGAGTAGGCGTTTGTGCCTAAAAGTAGATTTGCTGGGTGCCGGCCGGGTGCGAACTGTTTAATTCCTACACGCAGCTAGCCAGTTCGAGCATCACAGTGCATGTGAATATAAGTACGTGAGCTGAATACATAAATGAGAGGATATGCAAATGAGCCAAATCCTTAACATCCTGCTTGGAAGACGGCAGAGGATGGAAGCTCACACTGCAGACTGGGCATCATACACAGACCTGTCCATCAAACACTCGGTTGTCATGGAAACAACCTAGTTCCAACCTAGCGCAAGGCGGAAGCGGTAATATAATGAAGGACCAGACAGAGCAGTGCCTGCCTGCCTGGGCATGTGCCGCTTTTGAAGCAACAACCACCCTCATCCTCGTCTTTGTCAGCCTCTGCCTCTGGTACCCAAAATACACACAACAACAACGGGGCACGCTTGTGTGCGCTCGCTTACAGGAACGCTCTGCGAGCACCTTGTCTTTTCAATGAAAAGAGACAGGCCCAAGATGCCCGGCAATTCTTCCACTGTTTCTCTGGAAACGATAAAGCGGGTTTAGCTGGGTCCGCGCAGGGGTTTTCAAAGAGCTCCAGAAGACTTATCTTATCAACAACATGCAATCATTAAAGGTATTACACCCAGCTTACATCAGTCAGATAACAGGCGGCCGGGCTGGGAAATAACAGAGAGAGATGTAGAATGAGCAAAAAGAAAGTGTGAGGCAGACGGATGACGGCAAGTCTCTAAGCTGCTGTTAGAAATGCTATTTAAAAGGGAAAAAAAAGATTTGACAAGTTTGGAAATGGGATGATGGTAAATTTCCAAGGAATTGCAGGACTGTGACATCTACCTAAGAGCCCATCGGCGAAGTGATGAGTGTGATCTCACATTGCACGATGAAAAAAAAAGAAAAGAATGCTAATTGCTGTTTCAAAAAGAGTGAAACCTGTGTATGATACAGTGTCAGGAGGGAGTGAAGAGAAGCATGCAGTCCTGAAGCCTGGGACACACCAAAGGTTGACAAAAGGTGAGCTGAGACAGTTTGCTATCAACTTGTGGTGAGCCTTTGGGAGCGGAGCTGCCATTTCCCAAGAAAGGGACAGATACAGTGTGAAGAGATCTCAGGAAAGTCTCTTGGGGTTTTGCTGTGAGAACAGCTGCACAAATAAAGATAGTGGCTGCAAGTGACAGCAATTACGAAGGCTCAAACACCCTGTAATGAAATGAAAAAAAAAAAAAAAATCCCATTTCTGAGCTCTTCAAAGAAGCCCATTGATTTAAAATATGGCTGGTTTTAATCGTTGTTGGGTAGTTATCATATTTTTGTCAGAAAAGACTGAACCTGGAAATGTAAGTGACAGTCTGGTTTTATAAGAAAGGTTTATACCAATGTCAATATTGTACACATTGGCATTTTGACTATAGAAGATGAAAGGGAAGCAAAGGGGAGTACAAGAAAATAGTCTCGTTTACTTAAGGCTAATCCTCTGTCCTTCTGGTTAATTTTCCAGTGTCAGACTGCTGGCTTTGTGTAGTTTAAAGGCAAAAGAGCAAACTGTGTTTTAAAATGTTGCCATTGTAATTTGGAGTAAAGCTATAGCTCACCCTTTTTACAATGTCCCTGCGGTACAAAGCAATACAACAAAAGGAAAAATAAAATGACAGAATCTGAAGTATTTTTGGCATGAAAACATCCACCAATTCATGGTCTCTCATCCTGCAATGATGAAGGGCTCTTCATGCATTGTTTTCAAGTGCTGGAGATAGCTTGATAGTTGGTTTCATGACCTATTATAAGGCAATATAAAACAAATGGTAATGTGTCTTACCTTGGACTGAATAACCCAAGTAAGACGGTTTTCCACAGCTTTTCTTGCCAGTTTGACAAGTGGCAAAGGAATTTAGCTCCCATTCAGTTCTCGTGGTGACGTTTCACAAGTGCCATAAAACAGCTAAAGCCTGTCACAGATCTGTACATGCATCAGAGTTAAGCCATTGACACCCTCTCATGAGGAAACATTCATGCTTTGTTGGATTTTATGGGGATTAATTCAGAATGCTTACTATTGTGTGAGAGAGTCCTCTCTGTTTCTTCAGGCTACGGTTTTTCCATCACCACTCTCTTTGTCTTTGTGCGGTTGCAGTGGGTTTCAGCTTCACATACCTGTTATCCTCTTTATTTCTGGCACATTCTGTGCTCACAGCCTGGAATGAAGGTACATGACATGAAGGTACAAGCAGCGTATGCTTGTGCCTTCATTATCATGATTTCTATGTTGTGAATCACTAATGAATCATCAGTCTTTCACAAATGTTTCCATAGATTGTGAAAAGCAGCGGAGTTTCTTAGCAGGAAGTGAAGTATTGTTATAAGTGGTGCCACAGGTCAAGAATTAAGCCATTGAGTGCGAGGTGGATAAGGTTTTGATAATTAAAGTATCCCATTAATTACACTACCTTCTGCCTGGCTTCATTATCTTAGTTATAATACATCCCTATGAAGAAAATATTTATCTTAATCATTAATTCTGTACAGTCAATAAACACTTACTACCCTTCTACTTGTGCCACTTCCAAACAAATCACCTGATAGACAAGGTTGTAGTGACTACTTTTCCAGATGGTGCAGTGGCTCAAACATACTAACTCTCTGCCTCAGAAGAAAACATGGGAAGTAACACAAAAGCAACCAATCAGATAGCATCCGCATGGTGTCCAGTGTACTCTGAAGCCTGGTGCTGTCTGTGGATTAGCATCAGCTTCCGCTAAAGCTCTACTTTCCACAGGCAGCAGAAGTAAAGTGTGACTCATGAGAGTGTTTCTTCGTCAGAGCAGAAATCAAACCAAAGTATTTAATTCAACTTGCCACAAAGTCCCCACTGGAATCCGGACGGGGAAAAACCAGATGCTGCGTTCACAACGTGTACAACCATGGCCTTTGTGAAATGAGAGATGGAAACCAACATACATTCCAACAGTAATTCGGAAAAAATGTACAACAACACTTATTCATTAAGTTTAGACCATAATATCTCTTAGTTAAGGTTAGAAAATATGTTTAGGCCTGAGGTGCTTTTTAGAGTATTGCCAATAACCTCTTAGGTTCCTTTTATTTGATTGCCCTGGTTGCATGTAAACACATCGTGTCATCAGTGAGTGTACTGAATAATATAATTTGGTTGGAGTTAGAAATCAATTATGAATTGTCAGTGTCAGAAAAACTCATTGTTAGGGCTGAAATGTCTTCTTTAATAAGCACATAATCACAGACATAGCGACCTTAAAGTTCAGATAATGTAACCCACCCAACAGCGAAATATTTGACCCATTTTGGGGAAAAAGGACATTCCTTTTGCTGAAAAGAAAATCCTCCAAGAAACATATACTCTTATATCCAAAGAGATTTGTCTTGATCATATCTGATGGTCCCATAGAGGTGTTGATATTCACCTTGTTTCTTCTTACTTTGGCTCTGGGGCTATTGTTAGTACACTGTGTGAAAGTATGCTCAAATTAGAAGCTGCATTGTTGTGGAAGGAAAAAAAATGTAATGCTTAGCATAAGATCCACATGTCTTGTAAACCTGCCTCTTTAAAAATAATCTTCCAATCTTCCTTACATTTGATGTAGTTAGATTAATTTTTCTTATTGACCTGATTGCATGGTGGAGACAAGTACCATGATAAATTATGCGCTGGTACCATGGAAAATGACGAGCTCTTCCACGATTGACAGGAACAAGAAGTTGTGGTCGTGTCGTGTCTGTCTATCAGACAGCTGCCTGCATGACAGGCCTAAGTCAAGTTGTAATGAAATCACAACTTCTAAGAAAAAGGGAAATTGCGTCATTTAGAGGAGAACAGCACTTGTAGACATTTCAGAGTTTTGTCTGGCTGTCAGGTCATTTGTATTTTCATTTCCACAACCAAGAATGGTAAATGCTCAGGGATAGTGCATTGGTCTGCTCGCTCACTCTAAACCATGACTAGAGACAAAAGCGATGCAAAGAGAAGAAGCTTTCATCCGTTTCTCATTTTCTGTCTGTGTTGGAGTCAATCCCAGCTAATCACAACAATGTTTGGACTGTGGGAAGAAATCAGAGCACCCAGAAAAACCCACACACAGAAAGGTCTTGGCTGTGCTTACCATGGTACAACAAGGGAAATATCCAATAGTTTAGCTTAAATTTTCTGCTTGCGTTTCGGTCCCTCGAACCAGAGAGGCGAGCACAGAGAGGATAAACTTAATAGGAGGGTGGAAAGGGGCATTGATCAAATGAGACATCATTCACATTATTTCAAATAGACATCAAGTAGAAATGACATGCTGCACCATCTTTTGTTTATCTTTTAATGCGTTTTTTTTGCTTTATTAAATCATTTTAGTCAGATGTGTTTATGAAAAAGTGCATATTCACTTTGTGTTGTCACTTAAAGGTCCTACATGTAGGGGAGCCCCCCCCCTACATGTAGGCCAAATGCTGATTGGTTGGAAACTTCAACTGAGCTTAAGCCACATGGACGGATGGGCAGGCTCCAACTGGTTTGTAAGTCAAAGAAGATAAAGTGCCAAACAATGATCAAGAGCAAAGAGCGGGAGTTGAAAAGCACAACCAGGATCAGCGAGAGCACCGGCGACATGTCCATACTTGCAAAGCAGATGTTTGGCCGTGACCTCTGTCTATGGATCAACGGGATGTCCGCTATGCTGGAGCCTGCATTTTCAGCGTGCTATGACATTGTGTTTCAATACTTTAGGCACCCTCCTAAGGTCCGATATATGCATTGGAAATTTTGCCACGTCAGTAAGTGTGTTTTAACACGTCAAACGGTTTGTGTTTGTGTGAAAGGACGGGATGCCATTCCTTCTGTGTAACACTCTTATTTAATCTGGCTACCTAGTCATAAATTATGGTCGTGATTCTGAAATCCTGAAGCAGTCCCCAGATCACTAAAACGATTCGGCAGCATAACGTGTAGAAATGCTTCTGCAAAGCACCGGTTGCAGAATCATGTTCACGCTCTCTGTTCACAAACAGTATTAACCAAGACCAGAGGGTTTCCTTCTTGACGAATTTTCTAATTACCCTGATATTGCCTCTGTTACTCAGATGCCAGCATATAATTTCACCTCAGCATAGGTCACCGCCATGTAATGTGGTCATTAAGAGGATTTTCTGAGTATAACGTGAATGACGTTTATTTTTCCACGCTCACCAGATGCCGAATGCAGTGACTTCAAAATCACAGCTTCATTCTTTCTTCTTTGCTTGTTTCTATTCCTTTATTTCTTACCTGTCATATTATGCTGCAATGTGCACATGGGACTCATAAAGGGCCCCACAGCCATTACATATAATTGTATTTGCCTACTGTCTGAGAAGAGCCCTTGCTGTCTTTTCCTTATGTCATTTACTGATATCTATGTGGCGTTTAGACACTGGATATGAACCTGACTAAATGCTCTCAGAGGTTTCACTCATCCTTCAGTCTGTCATCCTCTTATCAAACTCTTGCATATTTATTTATCTTAATTAGGCCAATAAATCTTTCATGATATGTTGACGTGTGTAATTTCCTTATCGCCTGAGCTATTGCCACCAGGAGAGGCAGATGGCTTGAAATGGCCGAGATACCAGAGGCTTGAAACACCCGAGCACATCAGTGCATTGCCATGGAAACCGTCACGCTCTCACAGGTTTGTAATGCCCACAATTAACTGGAAGGAACAACAAAGTGGGGTAGATTAGAAAGATGGCCAGATGTTCAGGTATGAATTCAGTGGCGGTGGGACTGTGATTAATCTCAATCACAGCTATGGGTCTCAGCGATGATTACGCCGGTGGCAATAATAAGATTAGAGCCGGTGGCACAGACTAAAAGCCTGCTGTACACATGCTCAGAAAGCAGTTGAGAGGATGTCTGAGCTCAATTGACCCTTGTAAGCATCGGATCTCGACCATGACATTCATTTCAATAAAATAGACTTTGTATACAGTGCGGTTTCAACCGGAGTAAGACAGAGCTGGCTGTGGATTTATGTGTTGGCTTCTTTCATTAGATTACATTTAGAACACACTGGGATGGCACATCTCAGTTTGAACTATGTCTCTTTGTTTTCGCTTGTTTTTTCTGTGGAAACGATAAAACACTTGTACAGCTCGGCTTTTTCTACTCGGCATTGACAACGCCACACTTTTGATCGATTGCTTGAGTTCTATTAGATCTGAAAAACAAACAAACTATTACTGTGAGTGAGGATCCAACCTAAATCCTTTAGAGGCCGGAAAAGTCGATGCTGACTGTAAATGTAATTGACGCAAGCCTTTTTTGCTCCCTAAACAAATGAAGCATTACTTGCATGGCTGACGGCGTGGATAACTTCTCTCCATCTCTGCAATTCAAAGGTCCAGCCTTTAACAAAAGATGATTCTGTTGCAAGCTATGATTGAAACTCCGTGCTGAAATCCCTTTTATGACATAACACTTTTTAAAATCAAACCACTAGACGAAAATTGCCAATGCTGACCCTAATGTGCAAAAACACTCCCTCATGCTCTGGCTCTGAACACACTTGTGTGCTTCTTCTGTGATGATGTTCAGGCCTACACTACCCTCATTCTTTCCCGGCTCTCCACTACAAAGGCTGCTGTATAATGAAGAATAGCTGACTGACATGCACCTGGAGGAAGGTTATATGCAATAGAGTCACATGTTGAACAAAGAGTTTTTGACCTGCTTTGGGACAATGGTAAGCATCTCAGTACAGGGGTCTAAATGGAGAGCTTTAATCCCTTTTTCTCTCTTCTAACCATTACATTTTCTGTTGTCAGTCGCACAAGTTCATATTCAAGTTTCTGTGAGTAATCTGCCGCTGAGCACTCCTGCCAGTGAGCTTTGCTTTGAAAAGCACAGCGTGTGTGCAATGCAGGTTAAACCATGCCTACACCCTAATCCACGCGTATCTGGATCTTTACGTGTTTTTACATTATTTTAGCTTTAAAGGTGCCTCCTCTGGGTTCCTCAACGGGGCATCTGAGCATCGCTTACACAGCGTCTACCGTAAGCACCATCCTCTTCCAGTTTACTCCCCAGCTGGTCTCACGGTTCACTGACAGCTAGTTAGATCCCTTTGTGCTGTGATTTATTATTCATTGGCACATTTTGCCGTGCAACTGTAATTGCAGCATGCAGCCAGGGTGCCTGCATCTGATGGAGTCCAAATGAATAAATAAATCTAGATGGTAAGGCCATTTGAACGTTTGACATTTACTGATGAGGCAATTAAGAGAGCAACACACAGATGTGCAACCTACATTGCTCTTGTCCGTCCCAAAATGCTAAATCACAGTATCTGTTACACAGTGTGTATGCCAACGACCTTTAGAGCATTGCAACATTCAAATAAGGCTGTTTTTTCTATCATACCATGCAGAGGGGTTGCAGTTTTGTGGCGCTGTCGCCACTATGACGCACATAGTCTACCAACGAAGTCATAAAAGGGCACATTTTATGTTTATTTGCAGTTGCACATTAACATTTTGGATGGGAAGTTTACAAGAATGGTTTTATTAAATCAATACAAAAATGGCACAGAGCATACTGACTGCTCCAGCACCTCTGGTCACCTTCTCTGTCTCAAAAGCATGAAATAAGCACCTATCGTTTAAGGCTCTCCATCTGGAGAGCCTTGCCAGCTCTGACTGGTCTGCTGATTGCTTAGAATCCAAGTCTGACTGATGCCAAACTAGTCACCCGGGACACTTTTATGATAATGAGTTACATGGTGCTTTACCAGTGAGCCATAAATTCATGACCTTATTTTCGGTAAATTCTCCTTGTGTCAACAAGCGCTCTGGCTAGGTGGATGGGATCTGTAGATTTTGCATGCGCAATAGGTAGTCAAATAAGTCCAAACTCATGCAAACAGTTTACCAATTTGTAAGGCAGCTCTAAATATAAAATATGAAATGTGAATCACTCTCTTGTCTTTAAATAATAAATCTCCACTGTATGTCTTTATGTATCTATTACATATTCTAAAATAGCCATTTTTCTGAAATCCTTGCTCTAAAAATCAAGTCTTTTGATATAAATAGGTCTTGATTGTAAGAGGACAAAATGAATTCTTAAGCACATAAATTGCATATTGAGTCAGTAAAGAAATCCTCATGTCTTCTGTATAATTGTCCAGAATTATTTCTTAAAACACTAAAAGCTGCATCCTTCCTTTTCTAAAACCGAGGTCATGCAGCTTGTTGTAAGCAGAGTTCAACAACGGGCACCCAAGACTGTCTGGGGTTACATTCGTTTACATGGTTACTTGCACATCTGGCCAGACCCCATTTGCGCTGACAAAAATGCAAGTTTTTACCTTATTCAGCAATGTTGGACCAAAGGAAAATATGTTGGTGTTAAACTGGCCATTTAGAAAAACCATTAAATGAGAAAACAAAGAATTCCCCTAAATGTGTGAGAGCTTATTATAACAGTTTTTATTTTTTTATGAAGAAACAGAAGGAGAACACTTTGCTTCCAAAGCAATAGAAACTGTCCCAGTCAAGATAAGCCACATTATTGTGTTTCTCCGTCACAGTTGACTATTGTCATAACTGGAGCCTCGTTTATAGGGACAGATAAGAGCTAATTACTTTAGCACTTGGCAGTGGGCACGTTGTTTTGTTTGCAACTGCAGCAACAAACAGTCAAAAGGTCAGACATGTGTGATGGATTAGTGACTGCAATGCCACTCGGAGAACTGTGGCACGTTAGACCACTGAAGCCCGCGATGGTTATCTGTGAACCTTTCCTTACATGGAGTCGGTCTATATTTTTAAGCAATCTGTGACACATTGTTAGAAATAGACGAGGGAGACACTGATATGATCCCAAGTAACAATATGTCTTTTTGACTGACTGGTTTTTAAGACTTTGGGTGCACCGAAACCCCTGATCTCTGTTGTTTTACATCAGCCAACATTAAGATTTGAGTGTAAGGTAATTAGCTCGTTGGCTAATTAGCATATCGATAGGAAGGCCTTTGAAAGCTATTTTTCAAGAAGCCGTTGACGATGTACGCACAGCCAGATTTCTCTTTCATGAATTAAACAGCTGCAATTGACTGTAAACCAGTGAGAGGGGATCAATATATTTCAAATTCTACTTTACTCTTTATCATTAATTTATTATTCAATGCAACCTTTTCAACAAGTGCAAACTTACTGTGTCAGCAGGAAGAATGTGAATGTGCCTCAACTGAAGATAAGAATCCTGAAAAAGTGATGACCAACAGCCACAACTATGTTTTTGTTTTCCGGTGAAACAGAATAACCAAACATTACTGAACATGCTCAGCAGGGATTTCAAAGTGAGAAGGCTCTGTCATGATGTAAAAAACAGGAAAAAAACATCACAGAATACCTGCATATGTCTTGCATTACACCCCCGGAAATTATTCCATTGAGAAATAATGTGAGACAGAAGAGAAGGAAGTTCCTGGACGGCAATGCTGAGAATCCAGACATCTAACCTTCTGTCACATCATGGGACCAAAACCTTAATGTCTCAAGGACGGTTTGGCACTAACCTGAACATGCCATTGTTGTCTGGCACAAAGCGATGGGGACAAACACTCAATTGATGATTGAGTGTTTGGCACTGGATGTTGATTTTCAAGTTTTAAAAAATCTGATACTTATCTTAAACATCAAACTTCCTGCAAAACTAGCCTTGACTTAACAAGACATGTCCAGAGAAATGACAATAATATGGTTTATTTTTTTAAATACAATGTTAATCATTCTGTTGTAGCTGTAATAAGATACCAGCTGATCACTGACTCTATCAGTGTATTTTTTTAATGTGTGTTAGTCCTCTCCAACAATGAAGTATCTGGCATCGGATCTGGCATGAGCTGGGTGCCAAACAACACTGAACTTCATGCCGATTTTGCTTCTGCTTCCAATGAAATGTGAAATTCTACATAAAGCTTGTTATCCTTCCTGTGTTAAAACCTTCCCTCCGAGCCAGCGAGCGTCCTCAGTGCCTCGTCAAAAAAGAAGTGGGAAAAAAAAAAGACTCTCTCTGGCTCCGCCCCTCTCAAAAAAAAAAATCGGATGTGGATGGGAGAAAAAGGCCAGCAACAATGTGACAGACTACACAGCCACTCCGCTCCGCGTAGTAGTGGATATCTTCTCGGAGAGAAGGAGGGAGGGAGGGCAGCCTCCTGCTCGCTAACCGACGGGGCGCAAACGGGAGCGGACATGAGTGACCGGGCGGCCGGAGCATCCCCCTGAGGACCCGGGCCGCCTTCGGGTAAGGGCTTTGTCCACGAATCCCGACCGGAGCCGCGTTCCGCCGCTCCGGAGCGCTTTGTGTCCGCACGCCGGAGGGATGTGCACGGCGGAAAGGTGAACGGATTCAGCACAGGAGAGGGGGGGGGAAGGAAGGAGGGAGGGAGGGAGAGGGAGGGGGGTGTAATGGATGTAAGGCGTGAGCATGCAGCAGACAGCGCTTTGTTTTGGTCACTTTCCCGGACCGTAAGAACCGGAGAGCCTCGTTAAACAGCAGCTCATTAAGGCACCGCGCGCGCGCGCCTGTTTGGGCAAACGGCTCAATAAAGAGGAGAGGCAATCACGCGCAGCTGGGCTCACTGATCGTTTGCCATTTGGTGTCCGACACGCCGCTGTACGTCACCGAAATGAGCCTCGTTTTTTGGGAGTTTTTTTTCTGCTTATGGGATAAACTGGGTTCGTTCACAGCTCTCCCAGAAAGGCCAGCCCTGCTCTCCTCCGCACAACTTCTGGAGACGCTGTTGTTGTTCCCCTGGCTCTCACTTCTAGTTAAGCACATGCCAAAGGCCCCGAGCCAAGAGAGGAGACCTTTGCATCTTTTTTGTTAAACTAGTGACTCTCTGACATCATGTCCTTTGTTTGCAGGCAGTGCATGAAGATTTTAAATAAAATCCAGGCTCTGATATTTGGTTTGATTTGACTTGGAAAAATATATTTTTTTAAAAAAACAAAAAAACAAAATGGCATTGATTTGTGTTTCTTATCAGCAGCAAGATGATCCATTCCCTACTTTTAAACCAAAAGTAAACACAAAGGTGTGAGCCACCTAATCCGCTTTCCTTTCTTGTGATTGATAGCAGTGAGAGCCTTTAAGAGAAGCAGAGGCAATAAAAGTAATAAAAAAAACACACACACACAAGTGTCAAGAGCAATTAAGTGTAGACTCCTCTGTGGGGGGGGGTGGTAGGTTAGAGTGCAGCACCTTTTTCAAGTGGTGCGACTTGTCTCTCGCTTTAGCACTTAAATGCCAGTGAAACTCATGATGGCATCACCGGGGAGAGCCGCAGTGGAGCAGACTGAAAGTCATTCCAGTCAGATTACAGCGTACGCCGGCACACGTCCACCCCGCCGCCCCGCTGTCCTCCGGAATCAAAGATGCCAGCCAGCTCTTTGTGTTTTCCCCCCGCCGCAGCTCACAGGGAGGAAAACTCACAGGCTCTCCTCAGGTTATGGTGACATTGCATCAGGAAAGTGTGCTGCTTTGTTTGCGTGGCGCAGCCGCTGAATAATTACGTGCTCTCTGCTTTCTGGAGGCTTCCAAGAGGTTAGGACAAGGACAAAAAGTTAGTGAATGCTGCTTTTGCTTCCAGCGATAAACCTTTTTTAAAATTGTATTTATTCTCCAAACCCTTTAACGTTGTGCTCAACCATTTGGCAGAGAACATTTTTGATCAATTACACTGGGCCATAGGATATACTGGAGGAAGTGCACTTGCCTAAACTTACCTCTGATTAAAAAAACTCAACTTAATACCAATTAAAGGGGAAAAAAAAGGTATCAGAGCCAGGGTTAAAAAAAAATCTTTGTGCACTTCCTCCAAAAAAAAGACATGATATCAGACAGTCAATTGTTTAACAAAAAAGATGCAAGACATTTCCTTTCTTTTTTTTTTTTTTTTTTTTTTAAATTTCACACTTTTACCATGAAGTGTCTCCCTCAACTATCTGTGGGGAAAAAGCCTTGAATCAGGTTGTGGTTGGTCCCCTATCCTAACCCTAACCTGAGAGATGGAAAAGAAATACATGGATGTATTTTCCCATCCTTTTTTCTAAGTGTTGATGTTTAAGGGTTTATGGAAACCGAAGCATCATTTCTCATATTTTCTTTGTCGGAACATTTTCTGTTTTTTGGAAGGAGCCGATAACCATGCATGAAAATATGAAAGGTGTCCACAGATCTTCTCATGGCGCACCGTCAGAGTGTGGCTAGACCTTCTGCCTTGACTCTTTTTTCCAGGCGTCTCTCTGATTGCTGCCCGGCATCTCTTTGTCTCTGCAGCTGGATATTTATTGTGTCGGATGGGGCGCCCCCCTCTGCGTGTCCTGACAGAGCACAGGTGTGCGGGGAGCGCACGGGCGACATTCCACTCTTATTTGGACGATGCACAGCGGGCTCATTTCTTTCCTCCCAAGAAAAATAAATAAAACAAGACGGCGGCTTTGTTGTGTTTCTGCTCCGAAAGCCTTTCAGCAGCTGACCAGAATCAGTAAAGAGGTTTTTCCCAGCGGGGGGTTGAAGTACTGTGACATACCTATAGGGTAAGAATGAATATAGAGGGAGGGGTTTGACATCCTGGCTGTACAGTATACGCTGCCACCTCAAGCTCTAGACATTTTCCAAGTTAAACTAATATTAGCTCAGTCTGGATGTAATGCTACTCTCTGTGAACACAAGGCATAGGAAACGTTGCTGTTGCCGTGTTTTTGCTCATGTTTAACCACCTCAGGTTACATGTTCTCAGACATTCTCTCCAAGTATCTCCAGGTTTACTGCACAGAGTTGCATGTGGGCACGGAGCCGCTGTCAGAGGAGATGATGCTGCGCTCCGAGACGGTGGAGAAAGAATGAGCTCAGTTTGGCTACATTTGATTTGTTCCTGCTGCAAACAAACAGCAGAGGCTGTGCATCGATGGGTGTCTCTGCATGGAAATGTTTCCCTTTAAGTCGCAGAATGAAAGTTGAGGGCAAGGTCAGTCTAAAAAAAAACAACAACTAGCTGATGAAACGCTTTCCTGCTTTCAGTGATGACCCCGAGGCAAGAGTTAAAGTCGGGGATTGACTGTTGGCATTAGCATCAAATGAGAAGAATTGAGTCGTGTGGAAGAGTGAGCATGGTGAAGAGACCTCCTTATTGGTGAATAGTAAATTTTTCTGTAGATTCCCATGTCTTTGCCACGATATTTTAGCATTGCGTGTCTCTGATCGGAGCTGACTGACAGTGGAAGGCAGCAGATGAATGGATGGATTGAGCTTTAGAGAGGTGCTCCTTTAGTCTGCCGGAGGTGCAGGTCTTGTGTCTGTGAGGCTGCCGGGCGCCGGTCGATGTGTTCCCGGGCAGCACAGCGAAGCGCCGTCTTAAATATTGCACGAGCCGAGCTTTGAAGCTGCTCGCAAGAGTCGCATTGATTTAAGGTGACGACGATCCTGCCCTCAGCAAGGATGCTGTCAGACGCTGGCAACCGACTGGAGGCAAAAAAAAAGAGAAAAAAAAAAAGTTAAGTCAGTTCTGTATTTGGACAACCTGGGGCGAAGAGGAGCTGCTGCGAACACGGGGAAGAGGCGCTATCTTTGAAGTTGAGATGGCAAGTAGTTGGCAGCTGTGCCTCAGGTAGAGGAGCAGGCTGTCCGCTGATCACAGGTTCTGCTATCTGATCCTCAGCTGCTTTTGTCCGCTGGCGAAACCCTCCTGACTGCATTCATCATTTGCATCTGTCCAGAGCTGATGAATGCTTCAACACTCCTTTCTGGGACTCGATAAAGGTGACCTTAACGCACTAATCACGTCAACGTCAGCCATCTCAACGTAGACCGTCATCTTGGATTCGTTTGGGATCGATTGTGAAAGCTGTGGGTCCCAAATTGCCTCAACAGAAAAAAGGCTTTCTCAACTTAGTTTCCCTCCATCACACTGTATTGCCAGAAGAATTCATGCTGGTATTAAGTGTGCTGTGGAAACACAAACCGACAGCCAGCGGAAGCGGCTGAAAATGTCACTTTTCTTCACAGAGGCTTAATGAACAGGTGGCGCGTTAAAAGGATTCTTAAAAGCTTCTTCCTTGTCGGGCGGTTAGTGCACTTAATAACAAGAAGTGCTGTTAGCGTCCAAACAAGGGAAGGTTTAGTTCTCCCGCTTCCACCACTGCAGCATCCAGTTTCTTTTTTTCTCCTTTTTGCTTTTTAAATTAATTTTTTTTGTCCTCTCATTTGGCTTTTAGGAGGGGGGTTATTTATTTATTCAATGAGTGCATCTGTCGGATTCCTCTGAAAAGCAGATAATCAATCAAGTGAAGACCCACCTCAGCTGTTTCTGGCTGCCTGCTAATGTGACAGCCTGCGGCTCAATCTGGTGCCATGCTGAACAGGATCTGGAAATGGTTGGTGCAATTTATAGCCGTTGCGGTACACTTTTGTCAAGCGTCCCCGGTTCTCACTTTGACATTGGCATTGTTTTGACCCATTAATCTAGTATAAGATTAATATAAATCATTGGAGTGTCAGCGGTGGGGGCGGGGGGTGATTCTGCTTTTAATTCTGCGGCTTTTATTTCATTCCACGCAGTTTGACGGGCTCCAGTGAAATTAAAGTCACATGCTGTGTAATGGCAATTTGAGGAATGCCTGATTTAAATCTATTTATTCATTCATTTATTTATTTATCTTTTTATTGCATGTGGTGATGTAAAGGAAGAGAATATGAAAGCAGAGCAAAAAATCGATGCACAAACATATTCGAGTTATTTGAGCTTTTTTTTTTTTTTTTCTTGTCACATGTTGCTGCAAAATGTACAAATGCGAAGAAACTGATGGCTCAAAATGACTTTGACGATTGAGCAATTACATTGACCAAACTCTCATTAAGTCTTGGGTTTTTAAGATGGCTCATAGTTTGTAGTCTCTAAAACTGACAATCTCTGCTGCATTATCAGACTGGAACTTACCAGCAGGGTGTCTGTCTTTAATGATGAGCGCTCCACGCCCAGCATCACGTCCCTTTTTTGGAGCGATCCCCACAGATTTTGCCACATTTTTTTTTCTTTCATTTTTTTCTCCCCCCCCACAGTCTTGCTTTGCCATATCAGATAGCCCGAAATAACGCGGTGGGAGGAGGCCTTTTGTCACCGAGTCCATCTGCTGTTTGGTGCTCGGCAGGTTTTGTATGGTGGGTTTTGTTGAGCTTTTGCTTTCTCTGGTTCCCAAAAGCCACACATTCAAAGCAGCGAGTGAACTAATATAGTACAACTT